ACATAATTCGCGGTCTCCAGAAACGTCCGCAGGACTATGTTTTCAGAATGACCCTGGGTTGTTGTTTTTTGCACGTTCCTGATGACAAATCCACTAGAGGGTGCCATTTACATTTTTGAGAATCTGAAATACGTTACTTAGAGCAGGGCTCAAAATTGCAACCGTTTTGGTCGCATATGTGCCCAAAATTTTATCTAGGTGACCTCAAAATATATTCGGGAGCAAGTGTATAAAATTGATGTCGTGCGACCAGTTTTACAGCAAAATGTACTGCACATTCGTGGAATTAGGAGGCATTCACGCATCTTTGCACCTAAAAACACCAAACGCAGTGCTCAGGAATGGTTTAAAACAGTTGACATGTCAACTTGCAGCAGTAAACAAAGCCCGAAATGCTTGTCCCGCCTTCAAGCTCTTCTTACTGGCCCACTGCACTAGAACAGAACACGAACGGATTGGTTAATATCAGCTGTCAATCACTAAGTTCCGAGGACAGGGAGCTACAGCTGCGAAAATCTAAAGGTCTGAATATGAGAGAATGAAGACAACGCTGACAGTTTTATTTTTAGAAACCACCTAAAGTTACAAATAATGGCACATCTGATTAGTGATCATGTGCTGAATGTCAATCCAGCATTTACACTTTTCCAAGAGTGGATAAAAGACTTCCAGTGTTTTAAGTCCGCTATGAAAATGACTGAAGCATTCACCGTAAAGTAGGTGGGACGGAGTTTTCATGAGTGTTTGCCACTGAATCTACATATTTTATGCTTGAGATGTTCTTACATTATTTAATCCTTCATTTAATCATCACGATGCTGTCAATTGTGCGACTAATACCACGTTCACCATCACTAAAGTGCATGCATTCACTGAGATGAAACTAATATTGCATAAAGACAAATAATAAGTTATATGTCAATATCATCAGTGCAATATCAGACAGCACCCGTGAGAACAGCACAGTTATTATTGTTAATTCAGTTTATCTCATTTACGTCAAGCAGTGCGTGCAGGGCCGGTGAGCGCATGCAGATTTTTGTTTATTTGTTAGTTGTGATCAGAGTGTTAATATTTATTTAGTATAAAACGTGTAGTAACGGTGCTCATCATTTTCAGTGGGTGCGACAAAACTTTGTCAGGTGTGCCTACATTTTTTAAGTTAAAAGCACCGGTGCTACCAAGAAAAAAGGTTAATTTCGAGCCCTGTAGGTAGTGTTTAGTTGTACGTTACTGATACACATCCTATTTGAGCTTGTGGTACAGATCACTAAACCCAACCAATAGTGTTTTCAGAAGCAGACGGAAGAAAAAAGTGCACTGCCAGCACATAGTTTACCTTGATTTTACATTGCTTTTTTCTTAAATGTGGAAGCCTGCTTAACTGGACTCAAACCTGAGCTCTCTGCAGCATAAATACCTTACAAAATGAGCTACGAGCTAAATGACCATGCCAGAAAAGTATCGATAGGTGATGCAAACGTATACATAACAAATCATAGTCCTCGTTGTGTTGTTTGGTGGTGTTTATTTGGTTTTGTGCAAAGAACTGCACGAAAATAATCCTTTATTTGTCGATAATATGTCCTTGTAAATATCATTAGTGTGAAAAATAACAAAAGTTGTCGTCAAACTGCCCCCTAGTGTTCATTTCACCTAGAAACTGCTGTGAAATGTATGCTCAAGCATGTTTCTTAGCAGTTTCGCACAAAATGTTGGCTGAAGTACATATTTCCAACAAGCTTGTGAATTTGAATTGAAGGTAAGACAGCAAATATTAAAACTAACAACCCGCAACACAGTGCTAAAAATGTGATGTGTGTTCAATATTTAAATGAAGCCATTTACATTCATATCCATGCAAACAAAAATCACAAAAATAGCCTGATCTAATAGATATATGCACATGTTTATGTATATGTAGAATATACAGCAAGTAATTACTGTCAAAAAGCAGCATCTGAATGTATTCTAGACAGTACATACTGAAAAATCTATTTTCACTGCTCCTTAAATTGACTTTAAATGAACTGAAGCAGCACAATTTCTGAACATCTTGTCCAACTTTATCACGTTTTGTGTCCATTAGAATGTAAATATTGATATTTACTTAATCCTTATGTGTAGGGACTACTTTTTGTGTTGTTTTTAACCAAAAACTTCTCTCTTTTTGATGTTCCCGGCACTGTTTGCATAGGGCTGGATCAGGAAAAGTAAATATTGAAATTAAATGTTATTTTTATGTGTTTTGGGGTTCAACGTACTGTATCTTTATTTGACATTTAAAGGTCATGTGAGTGATATGAGAGTAAAACAAAACACTTAAACATGTCTTTTAAACACAAATGTCCTCATAGTAAACCTTTGTTTGGTTAGATATTATGCCATGCTTTGAGACTACCTACATCTATGACTAAATCAGGTAAAGACGGTGCAGTAAATCTTAAAAAAAAAAACACACACAATAGCTTACTACATTGTCATCCAAAATTAATTTACGTTTTGCATGTATATTTTGTTTCAGACAGTCTTTTTTTGTTTTTAGTTCGTCATCTTAATTACATTGACTAAATTCCAGTCTGTGTTTTTGAGTTACGGGAAAACCTGTTAACACTGTTGTAAACCTCTTGTAATCTTATCCAGGTATTTGACAGAAAAAAAAAATATTTAAACCAATATTTATAACAAACAATAATTCAGCTGTCAGTGCAGGCACATTTTTGCACACTGCATCATTTTATATATAGTTTCTGGATTAAAACAAAAATAAAAATGTGATATTTTATGAAAACAAAATGTAAAAATATGGATAAGAAATCAGATCTGTCATCATTTCATATCACGCACGCACACTCTGAATAACAAATGAATGAAACTAATGAATTACTTCAATACTAATATTTATTTCCCATCCTAAATTAGGATTTATATTTTCAGTTAGTTAATTTGAAAATAAAAACCATAGTTTTTTGTTATAAAATCTGAATTATAGAGTTTATATTATCAGTCTGTGTTTTGAATAACATTGCTCCAGATGTTCTATTAAACGCAAATCTTTTATTTTATTGCTGGGTTGAAATAACAGCAATAAAATATGGTAACACTTTATTTCATAGTGTCAATGTCACACATGTACTTACTACAGTGATTAATATGATTTATGCATAATTACTCTATAGAAAATCATTATAATTCTTTGAAATAATGACTTTATTTGCCATTCAGCCTGAAATCAAATCAAATCAATGTACAAATAATTTAATAGTTTAAAATAACAGTTTTTGTAGCCTTCACCTAACCTGTGCCTTTCTACAACTTTATCCTGAAGCTCTTTTGAAAGCAGGGTGTAATGTGAGTATACACTATATCCAAGATATACACTAACCGGCCTCTAAATTAGGTACACCTTACTAGTACCAGGTTGGACCCCCTTTTCCCTTCAGAACTGCCTTAATCCTTCGTGGCACAGATTCAACAAGATACTGGAAATATTCTTCAGAGATTTTGCTCCATATTGACATGATAGCATCACATCTGCAGATTTGTCTGCTGCACATTCATGATGCCAATCTCCTGTTCCACCACATCCCAAAGGTGCTCTATTGGATTGAGTTTTGGTGACTATGGAGGCCATTTGAGTACAGTGAACTCATTGTCATGTTCAAGAAACCAGTCTGAGATGATTCACGCTTTTTGACATGGTGCTGGAAGTAGCCATCAGAAGATGGAGACACTGTGCTCATAAAGGGATGGACATGGTCAGCAGCAATACTCAGGTAGGCTGTAATGTTGACACGATGCTTAATTGGTACTAATGGACCCAAAGTGTGCCAAGAAAATCTCCCCCACACCATTACACCACCACCACCAGCCTGAACTGTTGATAAAAGGCAGGATGGATCCATGCTTTCATGTTGTTGACTTCAAATTCTGACCCAACCATCCAAATGTGGCAGCAGAAATGGAGACTCATCAGAGCAGGCAACGTTTCTCCAATTTTCTCTTGTCCAGTTTTGGTGAGTCTGTGTGAATTGTAGCCTCAGTTTCCTGTTCTTAGCTGACAGGAGCGGCACCCGGTGTGCTCTTCTGCTGCTGTAGCCCATCCGCCTCAAGGTTGGACGTGTTGTGTGTTCAGAGATGCTCTTCTGCAGACCTCGGTTGTATCGAGTGCTTATTTGACTTACTGTTGCCTTTCTATCAGCTGGAACCAGTCTGGCCATTCTCCTCTGACCTCTGGCATCAGCAAGGCATTTGCGCCCACAGAACTGCCCCTCACTGGATATTTTCTCTCTTTCCGACCATTCTCTTTAAACCCTAGAGATAGCTGTGCGTGAAAATCCCAGTAGATCAGCAGTTTCTCAAACACTCAGACCAGCCCGTCTAACTCCAACAACCATGCCACGTTCAAAGTCACCTAAACCAGGTCTTTTTGCTGCCATGTGATTCGCTGATTAGAAATTAGCGTTCACGACCAGTTGGACAGGTGTACCTAATAAAGTGGCCGGTGAGTGTAGATTTTCACAGGGTGTGTCGATTTTCTATAGCCACTGTGCATGCAACTAACTGTAACCAAATAGTACATGCACTCTCAGAAATATAGGTGCAAGAGCTGTCACTGGGGCAGTACCTTTTCAAAAGGTCCACATTTATACCTATCAGGTCCACATTTGTACCTTAAAGGTACATATTTACACCTAAAAGTACCTTAAAGGTACAAAAGTATACCCTTCAGGTACAAAAATGTTCCTTTAAGGTACCAATTTGCACCTGTAAGGTACTTTTTGAAAAGGTAATACCCCAGTGACAGCTTTTCTTAGTGTGTATAATTAATAAATATTACTCAGTAGTGAAATAAATACTGGAACAAAAACACCTTAAAATAAAGCGTGGCCTCAATCTGCTAATACATCAGTTGGAATAAATCAATGTTGTGGGATTTGTTATGTTGAAAAGCTCTGACACAGACATGAGACTGGTTACTAGCAGCAGCAGGATCTTACCCTCTCCTGGTTCTGGTTATAATGGGGGAAGAATTTGGCACATTCGCTGTAATTAGCCCAGGTTTTGTTGTTATGTGAGGCCAGTTCCCAGGTCCCGTTCAGGTCGCAGCGGCGGTAGGCATGACCTGGAGATGCAGCGCACAAAAAACCCTCAAACAATGCAGTCGTGTTTTCACTTAGAACATTCATGCATTGATTTGTCATTCACACTGACAGATCGAAACATCATATCAAATGATCAATGCTTTTAGTTTTAAACAGAGACATAAATATGGATCCAGCTATCGATGAAAATGAACACGGTAAAGCTGCACAACAGTAAGATATCCAATTAGTGCTTTCATATGTAGCTGCAGTAATTAATAGTTCCCCTTCGGTTGGGGAACTTCAGTGCCATGAATGGGAGGATTCGGATCAGAAGCCGCTTATCTGGAGAGTATTGAACGGGCCAATGAATGAAATTAATTGGCAGCGTAAGCTTGCGCAGGTGTGCGACATCTGCAATCATCTCAGCATATAAGCACACCTGAAGCCAGCAGACGCCATCCTTTTCGCTTCAGATCCTTTCTGAGTGAGTCGATGAGGGTTCCTCTTGCTGATCAGCACTTCAGAGCGAACGAGTGTGTCTCCCGGTCCAGAGTGGGTCTTCGCGGTGGCAGACGGTCGAGCTGGGTTACTCCCTTGCCTGCGGTTCTTTGGGTCCGGTCCTCCAGAGCGGTGCGTATAGTTGCAACTTTCCTAAAAGAGCAACACAGTCGTGCAGCACGTCCTTTTCAGGATGGCGCTCCGACTGTGCGTTTCTGGATGCGGGGGTTTCCTGTCTCCGGATGATGGACACGATCACTGCATTGCATGTTTGGGGGTCCAGCATGTTAATGCGGTGCTCGCGGGCGGTTCATGTCGTCATTGCGATGCCATGACCGTTGCACAGCTAAGATCGCGGCTAACTTTCGCAAGAGAGCGAGCCACCCCAGTTGCCTCCTGTTCTAAAAAAGCAGCGGGCGCTCGGGCAGATCTGAGGGTTTCAGCGGGAGCTAATCCGCCGCCCACGGGCTCGCGGACCTCTCGCTCCTCACGGCGCTCCATCCAAGCTTCGGGTGGTGAGAGTGATCCGTCTAACCAGATGGTAGCTCTCACACTCGCTGACACCGGAGATCAGATGTCCTCCGCGGCATCGGAGGGTGGGCTTTCACTGTCCGACGAAGATCCGGACCCGCTCGCCCCCTCCGGGCAGGTGAGCGCTGTCAAATCGGATCCTGAAGCGGACATGTTAGCCGTGCTTTCCCGGGCTGCTTCGGCCGTGGGGTTGGAGATGGTTTATCCCCCAGCTCCGCGGCCGGACCGACTAGATGGGTGCTACGTAGAGGACCAGAAGGCGAAGCCTTCGAAGCCTCTCGTCCCCTTCTTCCCGGAAGTGCACAGTAGGCTCACGCAGTCCTGGAGGGCACCTTTCTCTGCCCGTGCTGCGAGTGCCTCCGCCCTCACTGCCCTTGACGGCGGAGCTGCCAGGGGGTATGAGGCGATCCCGTCAGTGGAGCGCGCTATCGCGGTCAATCTTTGTCCGCGCGGCGCCTCTACGTGGCGGGGTTTGCCCCGCCTCCCGTCCAAAGCCTGTAGGTTGTCTGCCTCCCTCGGAGCCAGAGCTTATAAGGCTGCGGGCCAGGCTGCTTCTGCTTTGCACGCGATGGCCACCTACCAGCGCTACCAAGCGCAGGCGCTGGCCGAGCTGCACGAGGGCGGGTCCAACCCAAGCTTATTACATGAGCTGCGCACCGCGACCGACTATGCTCTTCGGACTACTAAGTCCGCCGCGTGTGCGCTGGGGAGGACGATGTCCACACTTGTGGTTCAGGAACGCCACCTCTGGCTAAACCTGGCCGATATGCGCGACGTTGACAAAGTTCGCTTTCTTGACTCGCCCATATCCCAGGCTGGCCTGTTCGGCGACACCGTCGGTGAATTCACCCAGGAATTCAAGGCGGTGAAAGAGCAGTCGGATGCGATGGGCAATGTCATCTATCGGCGTGGCCGTAAGCCCGCTCCGCCCGCCGAGCCATCCACCTCCGCTGTTCCTCGCCGAGGGCGCCTGCCAACGAGTGCTGCCCCGCCCCCGCCTGCGCCTCCGGCCAAGCGGGCGCGGCGTTCACCTCGAAAGCAGGCAGCCCCTCCTGCCCAGGGCGCCGTTAAGTCCGGTAAATGGACCGCGAAGCGTCCCTGAGACAGGCCATCCGGAGAAGAGGAAACTTGCTCTTTCCCCGCTGGAGGGCGGGGCCCCGATAACAACGGTACTTTTCAGTGCCACCAAAACATCAGTAAAAGAGCACTTTTTCCCTTCCCCGGATGTGACTGCACGAGTTCTGCCAGTCCGGGACGCGCTGCCTTCCGGCTCGCAGACTCTACGTGCTTCGCCAGTGGCTCACGAGCGCTGGGGGGACGGTCTCCCTTCCCTCAGCCCTCCAGCCCCCTCTCCGGAGTCAGGGTGCGGAGCCAGAGCGAATCGCTCTCCTCCAGCTTTTCCGCGGGACCCTCGTGCTTCCCGGATCAGCACACCCACTCCGCGCTGCCCCACCGCTGGTACGTCAGCGATTGTAGCGATGACTCCATTAGCGAGGGCTCTGCCTGCCTGGTTAGCGCGGGCCAGCCCCTCGCGGTGGCTCATACGCACAATCAGACTCGGTTACGCGATTCAGTTCGCGAAACGGCCCCCCAAGTTTACGGGCGTGTATTTCTCCAGGGTCAACCCCCTGTCCGCCCCTGTCTTGCGAGAGGAGATTGCTGCCCTCCTGGCGAAGGGTGCAATCGAGCCGGTTCCTCCAGCCGAGATGGAGAGTGGGTTTTACAGCCCATACTTCATCGTACCCAAAAAGAGCGGTGGGTCACGGCCAATCCTAGATCTGCGCGTTTTGAACCGCTGTCTGCACAAGCTGCCGTTCAGAATGCTCACGCAGAGGCGCATTCTCCAATGCGTTCGTCCTCAGGATTGGTTTGCAGCCATAGACCTGAAAGACGCGTATTTCCATGTCTCCATTCTTCCACGCCACCGCCAATTTCTGCGGTTTGCGTTCGAGGGTCGAGCGTGGCAGTACAAGGTCCTCCCCTTCGGGCTCTCTCTGTCTCCGCGGGTCTTCACCAAACTCGCGGAGGGTGCCCTAGCGACCCTTCGGCTCGCGGGCATTCGCATACTCAGTTATCTCGACGACTGGCTGATTTTAGCCCACTCGCGGGAGCAATTGATTATGCACAGGGACGAGGTGCTTCGGCATCTCCGCCTACTGGGGCTTCAGGTCAACCGAGAAAAGAGCAAACTCGCCCCCGTGCAGAGGATTTCTTTTCTCGGGATGGAGCTGGACTCGATCACCATGGTAGCGCACCTCTCCGAGGAACGCGCTCGCCTGTTGCTGAACTGTCTGAGGGAGCTCGACAGCAAACTAGTGGTCCCACTGAAGTTCTTTCAGAGGCTCCTGGGGCATATGGCATCCGCAGCCGCCGTCACGCCGCTCGGGTTGCTCCATATGAGACCACTTCAGCACTGGCTTCACGATCGGGTCCCCAGACGCGCATGGCACGCGGGCACACACCGGGTCTTGGTTACTGCGCTGTGTCGCCGCGCCCTCAGCCCTTGGAACGACCCCTCGTTCCTACAGGGCGGTGTGCCTCTAGGACAGGCGTCCAGCCATGTTGTTGTTTCAACAGACGCTTCCAACACGGGTTGGGGGGCCGTGTGTCGCGGGCATGCGGCTGCGGGCCTCTGGAAGGGTGCCCAGCTGCATTGGCATATCAATCGCCTAGAGCTGTTGGCAGTGTTCCTCGCTCTCCACCGCTTTTTACCGGTGCTGGAGCGGCAACACGTGCTGGTCAGGACGGACAGTACGGCGGCGGCGGCGTATATCAACCGCATGGGGGGTATGCGCTCTCGCCGCATGTCTCAGCTCGCCCGCCGTCTGCTCCTCTGGAGTCACCTGCGGCTGAAATCGCTGCGCGCCATTCACGTCCCAGGCACGCTCAATCGTGCAGCCGATGCGCTCTCACGACAGCTGTTACGCCCTGGAGAATGGAGACTCCACCCCGAGTCTGTTCAGCTGATATGGGCGCGATTCGGGGAGGCCCAGTTCGATCTGTTTGCTTCCCCCGAGAACGCTCACTGCCAGTTGTTTTTTTCCCTGACCGAGGGCTCTCTCGGCACGGATGCACTGGCCCACAGCTGGCCTCGGGGCATGCGCAAGTATGCGTTTCCCCCAGTGAGCCTGCTCGCGCAGTTTCTGTGCAAGGTCAGGGAGGACGAGGAACAGGTTCTGCTAGTTGCGCCCCTTTGGCCCAACCGGACCTGGATATCAGAGCTCTCACTCCTCGCGACGGCCCTCCCCTGGCGGATCCCTTTGAGAGAGGACCTACTCTCTCAGGGACAGGGCACCATCTGGCACCCTCGCCCCGATCTTTGGAACCTCCACGTGTGGTCCCTAGACGCGAGGAAGACTTAGGTAACCTACCGACTGCGGTGGTTAATACCATCACTCAGGCTAGAGCCCCCTCCACGAGGCGCGCCTACGCCCTGAAGTGGAGTCTATTCACTGAATGGTGCGTCTCTCGCAGAGAAGACCCCCGAAATTGCCAGATTAGTGTTGTGCTCTCTTTCCTTCAAGAGAAGTTGGACAGCAGGCTGTCGCCCTCCACTCTCAAGGTTTACGTGGCCGCCATCTCCGCTTATCATAGCGCGGTAGCTGGCGGCACCGTGGGAAAGCATAACCTGGTCATCCAGTTCCTTAGGGGTGCTAGGCGAATTAATCCATCTCGCCCCCCTCTCATGCCCTCTTGGGATCTCGCCCTCGTTCTCACGAGTCTGCGATCCGATCCCTTTGAGCCACTCGAATCAGTATCTCTAAGATTTCTGTCCCTGAAGACAGCTCTGCTGGTTGCGTTGGCCTCCATCAAGAGGGTCGGGGACCTGGAGGCATTTTCGGTCAGTGACTCGTGCCTGGAATTCGGGCCGGATTACTCTCACGTTATCCTGAGACCCCGCCCCGGTTATGTGCCCAAGGTTCCTACCACCCCCTTTAGAGATCAGGTAGTGAACCTGCAAGCGCTGCCCCCGGAGGAGGCAGACCCAGCCCTTTCTTTACTTTGTCCAGTTCGCGCTCTGCGCATTATGTGGACCGTACTCAGAATTTTAGATCATCTGAGCAGCTCTTTGTCTGTTATGGCGGTCGGCAGCAGGGAAGTGCCGTATCGAAACAAAGATTATCCCACTGGATTGTGGATGCCATTTCACTCGCTTATTCGAGTCGAGGTCAGCCGTGTCCCCCGGGAGTACGTGCACACTCCACTCGGAGCGTTGCATCCTCTTGGGCGCGTGCACGCGGCGCCTCTCTAACAGACATCTGTAGAGCTGCGGGCTGGGCGACACCCAACACATTTGCAAGGTTTTACAATCTGCGAGTGGAGCCGGTTTCCTCAAGGGTATTAGGTAACCCTTTGGTGATTGAGGAGACAACTCGGTAGGGTGTTGAAACACGCTTGCTGCGCCATTCTCCCTAACACGGAGGTACGTGCGCCTTTTTTATCTGTCAGTAAAGTTCCCCGTCAGGTGAGCCCTGCAGATTCCTCCGTGGCCCCCAGCACTGACTCAGCGGAGGAGTCACTTGCTGGCCCACTACGTTGTAGGTCTGCCCGCTGGTCAGCCCGCGTTTTGGGTATAGGTGCCTGCTATGCGTGATCCCCACTAGGCGATCCCATATGCTTATTCCGCCACGGTTAAGTCCCCCCCCTGGGCGGACCCGTGTCTTCCCTCTCCGCTAACCACTCTTTGCTATGCGTACTCCCCCTTTTTAGGGCTAGTCCATAGGTAAATTCTGCCATCTATCCCCCCCTTGGGTAACGGATGGCCTCCGCAGCGTCCTCCCTATCGGGATTGCACGCTTCCCAACGTACTGTCGTATTTCCTAGAATTATCTAGATGCTCACGACTTCCCAAAAAATATATCTAAATCCGTAAAACTTCTGTTGAAGTAGGATAAATTAGGGCCAGGGACACGTTGGAGGACCGCGCCCCCCATGATGTGGGTGCATCACGCTTGCTTGACTATCTCCTCATCGGGGGTGTTGGTAAGGTGCAGTCATTATGGCGCTTTCCATATTCTCCCATTCATGGCACTGAAGTTCCCCAACCGAAGGGGAACGTTCGAGGTTACAGAAGTAACCCTTCGTTCCCCGAGGAGGGGAACGGAAGTGCCATATTCCGTCGCCATAATGACTGTCCCTTAGCTGTTTGAAAGTCTCTTCAGCTTAAAAGGATGGCGTCTGCTGGCTTCAGGTGTGCTTATATGCTGAGATGATTGCAGATGTCGCACACCTGCGCAAGCTTACGCTGCCAATTAATTTCATTCATTGGCCCGTTCAATACTCTCCAGATAAGCGGCTTCTGATCCGAATCCTCCCATTCATGGCACTTCCGTTCCCCTCCTCGGGGAACGAAGGGTTACTTCTGTAACCTCGAACGATCTCTGAAGCACTGCTGGAAACATGGCTTTATGGGAATTTTACACTATGGATTTCCCGAAATGAGGCATAAACGCTCCCAGAACTCAATTCTGGAAAGCTAGCACTGTTTGTATTGTTTTCCCCCTTGGATTATTTTCTTATGGTTACATTATCCTCATTTGTGCATCCCTTTGGCATCTGCTAAATGAATAAATGTAAATGTAAAGCAGTCAGGGATGGCACCACCACTTCTCAGATCACTGTCCAAACACACAAACATTTGCTTTAAGAAAACGCGCCATGTTTTCTGTTATGAATGTAAAAAAATGCATGCAGATTTCCTAAGAGTGTTTGTCTGGAAGAAGGCTTACACTTTAGATTAAGTCCCATTAAGTGTGTACTTGCATCAAAAAATAATCACAATGTACTGATTATGTTTATATTGACTTGGGGCTGTTAAGCTTAGGTTTAGTGACAGATTTGGTGGTGTGGATAAGTTTAAGAGTGGCATAAGATATAAGGCATGCAACAACCGTGTAATTATTTATGAAATGTCATGGTTTTTGACTGTTTGGAGCCATCTTGTAAATGAATAATGTTTAGGTTAGTGTATGCTCCATTCAGCTGTTTTCGTTTCTGCCAGCTTTGGGTTTTTGACTGTTTGGCGCCATCTTGTGTTTGAATAATGCGCAGGTTAGTATATGCTCCATCAGCTGTTTTTATTTCTGTCAGCTTTGTGTTTTTGACTGTTTGGCGCATCTTTTGTCTGAATAATGTGAAGGTTAGTGTATACTCCATTAAGCTGTTTCTGTTTCTCTCAGCTTTGTGTTGTTGACTGTTTGGCGCATCTTGTGTATCAATAATGCGCAGGTTAGTAGTTACTCTATCACCTGTTTTAGTTTCTGTCAGCTTTGTGTTGTTGACTGTTTGGCGCCATCTAGTGTCTGAATAGTGCGCAGGTTAGTGTATATTCCATCAGCTGTTTTCATTACTGTCAGCTTTGCGTTTTTCACTGTTTGGTGCCATCTTGTGTCTGAATAATGCGCAGGTTAGTGTATACTCCATCAGCTGTTTTAGTTTCTGTCAGCGTTGCGTTTTTCACTGTTTGGCGCCATCTTGTGTCTGAATAATGCGCAGGTTAGTGTATACTCTATCAGCTGTCTTCTTTTCTGTCAGCGTTGCGTTTTTCACTGTTTGGCGCCATCTTGTGTCTGAATAATGCGCAGGTTAGTGTATACTCCATCAGCTGTTTTAGTTTCTGTTAGCTTTGCGTTTTTCACTGTTTGGTGCCATCTTGTGTCTGAATAATGCGCAGGTTAGTGTATACTCCATCAGCTGTTTTAGTTTCTGTTAGCTTTGCGTTTTTCACTGTTTGGTGCCATCTTGTGTCTGAATAATGAGCAGGTTAGTGTATACTCCATCAGCTGTTTCTGTTTCTCTCAGCTTTGGGTTCAATTAAAAAAATGTATAAACCAAAATGCCTCAGAACAATCTTTTGTGTCTAATAAGCATAATTAAATACATCCAGGCAGTTGTTTCCCCAGATTAAAACCATTAGTATTATACAAAACTGCTTTGCTTTACGTTTAGCTACCAATAAGCTTGCTGGCTTTATTCAGTGATAACATCCTCCAGGGAATACTTAAAATAACCATAACTTTAAATACAGTGTTATTAAAAATAAGCAATGAGATTTTGGAGCATCGTTAGCGATCTATTGTGAGTGAAGAAAAAGCCAGACTCTGGAGCGGATGGTTTCTTCGTTAACTCTGGAGTTTCTCCATCATTGTCCAGGCAGTGTTGACAGACATTATTAAAGCACAGGTCAGCTCCTGCAAGCTCACCTTTGTGGTTGAAGTCATATATGTACTCTGGGCATGAAGTGGACACCATCTTTCCAGGAACTCCCTCGGGCCAACATAGGATGCCATCCCACTCTGGCAGACAGGATCCCTCTATAACACAAAGCAGGATTGACATTTAGTAATGGAGTCAGATCGGTCTCAAAAATCATACATTTCTGAAATATAATTCATACATCCACAATCCAATTTACATTCACAAAACATACTTCGTAAATGCAGAATATGATTCGTAAATACACAAATCCAATTTATAAATTCAAAACAGGCTTCCTAAATACACAAATCCAAATTATAAATTCAAAACACGCTTCCTTAATTCAAAAATGCAATTCGTTAATTTAAAACATGATTCGTAAATACACAAATCCAATTTATAAATTCAAAACACGCTTCCTAAATACACAAATCCAATTTTAAAATTCAAAACACGCTTCCTAAATACACAAATCCAATTTTAAAATTCAAAACACGCTTCCTAAATACACAAATCCAATTTAAAAATTCAAAACACGCTTCCTAAATACACAAATCCAATTTAAAAATTCAAAACACGCTTCCTAAATACAAAAATCCAATTTAAAAATTCAAAACACGCTTCCTAAATACACAAATCCAATTCGTTAATTTAAAACATGATTCGTAAATACACACATCCAATTTATAAATTCAAAACAGGCTTCCTAAATACACAAATCCAATTTATAAATTCAAAACACGCTTCCTTAATACAAAAATGCAATTCGTTAATTTAAAACATGATTCGTAAATACACAAATCCAATTTATAAATTCAAAACAGGCTTCCTAAATACACAAATCCAATTTAAAAATTCAAAACACGCTTCCTAAATACACAAATCCAATTTAAAAATTCAAAACACGCTTCCTAAATACACAAATCCAATTCGTTAATTTAAAACATGATTCGTAAATACACACATCCAATTTATAAATTCAAAACACGCTTCCTAAATACACAAATCCAATTCGTTAATTTAAAACATGATTCGCAAATACATAGATTCAATTTTGTAAATTCCAAACATGTCTTGTAAATACACAAATCCAATTTGTCCATTCAAAACACGAATCATAAATACACAAATCTAATTCGTAAATTCAAAACAAGATTCGTAAATACACAAACTCAATTCTTAAGTACAAAAAACAATTAAAAATACGCAAATACAATCCATTTGGTGAGAATATTTATGAGATTTACTAGTGAATTCACAAATTGTGTGGTGTTACTGAATTGTGTTTTTAATTTACGAATTGGATTTTGTAAATGTGAATTGTGCTGTGCTTGTGTTTTACATAGTTAATGTATTGTTTTTTAGACTGATTTGGCTCCAGACGTAGCGAACTGCAGTACACACACACGCACACACACATAAACACACACCCTTGCTCCAGCAACAACCAAAATAACCTCCTCCAAAATCTGAGGACACAATGAAGTTGACACTCGGACACATTGAGGTTTGCTCTTTCCTGAATGACAGGGTACAATCTTGAACAGCTTTATACAACTGTCAGTGCACTCGGACTGAACAGAACCTGTCAGTCAGTATAACAATGACCTGCTGCAGGTCTTTCATTGCTGTTTTTTTTTCCACTGCAGGTCTTTTATGTGCAAACAGTTTTGTAGTTTATAGTCAATGATCATAACCTATTTTACTTCAGTAATCTGATGTGAAAAAAGGGAAAGGAAAACAAGTACTGAGATATTGGTGTTTCTATTGTGGAATGTTATTTCCTGAATGAGGTTTTGCTTCCTTGTCCTCATTTGTAATTCGCTTTGGATAAAAGTGTCTACTAAATGACTAAATGTAAATGTAAAAACTTTGTCTTATGAAAATAAGAACACATTCGTTCATTTTATTTTCAGCTTAGTCCCTTTATTAATCTGGGGTCGCCACAACAGAATGAACCGCCAACTTATCCAACATATGTTTTACGCAGTGGATGCCCTTCCAGCTGCAAGCCATCCCTGGGAAACATCCATACACACTCATTCACACACATACACTACGGACAATTTTAGCTTACCCAATTCACCTATGCCACATGTTTTTTTGGCTTGTGGGGGAAACCGGAGCATAAGAACATATTATAATAGTTCATTTTAATTGTGTACAATAAACATGTTCCCAGGTTTGGTTGGTGATTGGAAGGGCATTTGCTGTGTAATACATATGCTGGATAAGTTGGTGGTTCATTACGCTGTGGCGACTCCTTATTAATAAAGGCACTAAGCAAAAAAAAAAAAAAAAAAAAAAAAAAAAAAAAAATATATATATATATATATATATATATATATATATATATATATATGAATGAATAAACAACAAACATGTCTATATAAATATTTATTGGATTTAAAATTGTGTTGACAGCGTCAGATAAAGCACGCTATTAGCTTAAAATTTTAGACCTGTTTTTGACTTTTTTTTATAGGGATACTAGTGGTCAAAAAAAAATAAAAATCATAAAAAGTAAATAATAAACAAATAAATAAATAAAATTGAATGTAAAAATAAATAAGAATAATAAACAAAATAATAAAAAAAAATTAAATAAACAAAATAAAATAAAAATAATAATAAAAAATCTAAATAAATATTAAATAAAATCATATGAAACGCAACTAAAAAATTTGATAAAAAATAAATTGATAAAAACATTTTTATAATTAAAGAAAAAATACATAAAAAATAAAACATAAACAATTAACAATAAACCAATAAATATACAAATAAATAGGAAGAAATAAAATTATTAAAATGAAACAAAAATTAAATAAAAAATAAACAAGTTCAATAATAAAATACAAAAAGTAATTTAACAATAATAAAAAATAATGATAAAATATAAATAATAAGAAATTCAACAAAAATAAATACATTTTAAATAACAAGAAATTAAAACAAACAAACAAGCAAACAAACAAACACATAAACAAACAAACAATTAATTAAATTAATTAAAATGAATTAATTAAAAATAAATGAATGACACACACATACACACACACACACACACACACACACACACACACACACACACACACACACACACATATATATATATATATATATATATATATATATATATAGTTGTTTTTTTATATTATATATTATTTAAGCTTATATTATTTGTGTGTGTGATTTATGGCGCTAATAGAGTTTTAAGTTGTCAAAGGTGATTTTCGTTAAATGGTGTGTTACATTTAGTTTAAATCTCTTGTGCACACCCCCAGAAAAATGCATCCCTTGAGAGCCTTCTGTGATATTTCTGCATCTTTTTTTTAAAGCTTATCCATGACATGACCATTACATGAAGGAGCGTGAGGCGAGCAGGACATTTTTCTTTTTTTAATTTCACCTTTTGTTGTCTGAGAATGGGTGCGCGTGCTGCACTGGAACAGCATCAGGGTTAGTAAATGATGACTTAATTTTCTTCCCAGCACAAGTGTTCATCTGAGATTCATTATTGTTTCCACCTGTTATTAAAATGCGTTTCAGCTGCATCTCCTGTGACCAATTCAGCTGGATCCCCTTGAGTTTTCATTTCTCATTTCATCACACTCTATATACGTTTCACAGCACCAGCGAGAGCAGCTCATGGACAAACCCATCTTACACAGATCATGAACATTCAGGAATATAAGAAAAAGAAAGTGAGGATTTTAAATATTCTTTTGAATTTGGGGGCTCTTACACATAACTTGTCCACAATGATTCTGAAACATTATGTATGCATTCACTTTTTTATGTGCATTTTGGAATGAAGCTTAAATATTTACTTAATGGAAATGACAAAATGTGCGTACATTTTAAAAATGTGCATAAAAAATGTTTAGTACGATAAACTTTTTATCCTAATAAGAAAAAAATGTGCATGCGCTGTGATAGAAACTTATTTAGTGAATAAATTTCAGCATGCACATTAAAAAAAGTCATGTGATTTAGTTTTAACAGATCATTTGTCTATAAAAATGTGTGTGATGGGATGCATTAATGGACAAAGAAGCATTTCTGACACATCTGAAATATTGTTTAGCTCATTTCTAATATTCCTCAGCTAAAGTCAGACATCACAGCGCTTCAGTATTATTATTATTATTATTATTATTATTACACTGTCGAAAATTTAAAGTTATTTTCTGCAAAATTCTAATTCTCTACAGTTCACTACAATAATATGCACTGCATTGTGGGCCATTTTAAAACTTTTACAGTAACTTACTGCATATTAGAACTGCTACTGTAGTTGAAGAGACAGCAAATGAAAATAATGTCACTAAATACTACAAATAAAAGTTTTGTACTGCTAGTGTAAAATGTAAATAAATTACAGCAAAAGTACTGTAAAAATGTCACACAGTAAAATGTTTAATAACATTGTAAAAAATATATATATACATTTTTAAAGGGCATTTTACCATTAAAAGAAGTTGCGGTGAGGCTATTTTACTGTACAATGAAATTGCGGTAGGGCCCTGCTACTGTAAAACACATTTACAGTTAAGCTACTGTAAACTAAGGTAGTTACTGTAAATTGCTGCCAACAGTGCTGCCAGTAGTTGCTGCGAAAATACAATAAAATATCCAACAGGGAATTTTTATGCAATATTTCAGTTTTATGCATATTTTGTATTTTTGCTTACATATAAATATAAAAAATGCATATTTTTACATATTTTATGCATATTTTGTATACATATTTTTACATACTTTTATGCATATTTTAAATTTTATCATATATATATATATATATATATATATATATATATATATATATATATAAGCAAAATTACAAAATATGCATTAAAAATATGTACCTTGGTGTATACAGATATGAGCGATATACAGCCATATTGCACTGCTTGCGTTTATACAACAGTTTTACAGCCTAATCGTGTATCAAAAAAGAAAATCAAACACTTTTGTAAGAAGAACTACTTTCTTGCGCCATTCATTCACATCTGCAGCTGACGTCAGAACAGCTGAAACCAATTCACCAACGTCTCTTTAAAGCTAAGGTTTCAATGATTCTCTATAGCGTAATAGTGCTGTAGTGTAATAG